GCCTTTTCTTTTTTCGGCGGTCCTGCCGATGCCTGAAACTTACTTAAGACTTGGCTCGAGATTTTGTGCAATACGTAGTCTTCCAACAATATACGAATTGTTGCAAGAGCATACGTGGTGAATCTCGAGCGGGACGAACGTTTCGAAAGGGACCTAATCACGACCGCGAACTCGAGAGAGCGACTGTAAGAGTCGCGCGATTCGAGGAGTCGAAAATAAAGCCGAAACAAACAGCACAAGTACACCGTTTGAATCAGCAAAATTTCTACTCTCGAAATCGTAACTACAGGAACAGAACTGCCACGCGAAAACGCGCCTACCCGAATTACTAATGTGGACAGTCCTGCCCTGACCCTACCTACTTAGATTAAGCACACACACACCAGAGAGAAAGTTACCTACCTACCTAACCCTATATTTAAAAAATTACAAAACTCAGTCTCTCAAACAAACACTCCACGGTTCTCATTCTGAATGTCCGGGCGCGACCTAAACTAGAGAGGACTCCCCGGGGTTCCTCCGACACCCGGACACAACCTCATTCATACTCTAATTGTGTACGTACCAGTTTTTGCAGTGGACTGACAAAGCTAGTGCCCATTGCGTACTTTTATTATTTATGTAAAACATTTTAATATATCTGATATAGTCTTTATTAAAATATATACTCTATACATATATGATTATATAAGATTGAAAAGGTAATTCATTATGCATTTTACAATATTATCGACGTGTATGCAATACGAACAATTGCCAAGTAAATAATAACTATAAGTTTAATATTATTATTGTGATTGTTATGAATCTAATGTCAAAAAATTCTGTATCTGAATTGTAATAAACTATTGAAACGATGCACTTCCACATCCTAACCACAAACACACATATGTGGACAGTACATCGTGCACGATACACTAGCATTGTCAGTCGCACGGATAAATTATTATTATAAATGTTACAAACTAAGTCATCGTGCCCCGTTGCCTTCGCTCGTGCAAATAACACTTGGGCATGTGCATGAACTTAGGCAACGAACACGGAAAAGTATCCTGAAAATCCTGACTAGAAAAACTGGTTAATAATAATTAACTAAACGGTATCTATTCTCAATTAAAATGACTCGACTCGTTATATGTAATATATCAACAACAAGAGTACGTTAATATTGAAAGATATTATTATTCAAGAAAAATTTGTGACTGAAATTTAATTGTTCAAAATGTAAGACTTTAATAAAGATTTCATGATAAAATAATTGACTTTGCAAATTGAAATAAATTTGTTAAATTATTATTCAAAATATTCAATTAACCTTGGTCGATTCTGACGTCAAAGTAAATTTTTTAAAAAATAAAATTAACATGCATGTTCCTTTGAGTTCAAAATCGACCAGTCGCGAAACGCCTTCTTGCACATAAAATACATCAAATGATGTATTAATTGATAAAACGAATATTTAATAAATTATATTAATGATGTAAGATATTTTACTCAATCGTACGATTAATATAATGTTTTCACATTATATTAATTCATATTCTACTCAATTATCTAATTCATATAAAGATAATAAACATATTTCATATATTGTATCAAAATTGTGTAATAATCATATTGTGTAATATTTATTGATAACATTAAAAAACGCGAGTGCAAGAAGACCCTAGCCTGCACTAAAAATCTATAATTCATGGGTATTTTTCATACCCGCGGTCACTTAACTCGTCAAAAATACTAAGTATACAACTGGTCGCCCGTGTTGATTCGGATCTTTCATCCTACAACATGGTTGGGGACCAGAGGAACATAAATAGCATGCAACTCACGAGTGATGAACTTGTACCTCTGGGATGACTGCATAATTATGCTGCTGCTGTCCAGTGGAAGTCATCAGTGCCCCCTGCATGGTCCTGCTATAAAGAATAAGAAAGCAATTATAATCTATTGTTAAAATTATAGAGATTTTTAATTAACAAATTTGAAAGTATAAATTTATACTTACGTTGTTCGCTCGTGGTCCACCGCCCGATACCCCCCGGGTACTGCTGCTGGATACCAAGATCAGGTTCAGAAACTGTAAGAAAACTGTAAGAAAACAATTAGAATCTATTGTTAAAACTGTAGAGATTTTTAATTAAAAATTTCGAAGTATAAATTTATACTTACATTGTTTGCTCGTGGAGCATCGCCAAACAATCCTCTTCAGTGATGCACTGACTCTAATCCCGATAACGAAGAGTTTAAATTTCAAATTGAAAAAATAATTGATTTGATTAGAAAATAATAAATTAGATTACCGCGACCGAAGATTGAAATCGGCGAACAAATGATTCTATTATCGCGATTCAGAAAACAGAAAGAGCCACGATGCTCTGGAAATAATTTAATACCGCGTAAGAAACACTGCTTCTACTCTCGCGTTTGTCTATCACCGTGAACGATGACGTGCTTGGGGTCACTTTGCCCCGAAAAACAAACTTGTTGCTACGCACAATCACTGAATCTACCGGCCGCATTGCGCTCGGCCAACAAATTTCCTGGAAAGAAAAGAGCTGAAAGAAAAGGGACAGGAGACAAGAAATACAACAAGCACATCTGTGCTTTGCCTATCGATTTTTGTTTTTCTTCTTACTAGAGTTCGACAACGAAAACACTGCTTTACTTAGTACTGATGTATACATAGTTTGTCCCGTACAAGATCAATGCCACGAAGGCGAAATATTCTCAATCACTGAGAATTTCAACGACAAAATATTATCTACGGAAATAATTATTCAATTTATAAATATTATATCACCAAATTTCATAATTAGAGTTGTAAGCATGATTATGTATACTTTATCGAACGTTAGAATATCCCGTAATTTTTATAAATATTCCGAAATTTGCAAGAATTAAAGTTTGCTAGTTATTTATGCTTGAATAGCATATTTCAACTTCGCAGTTACTACGTTTTCTGAAACTTGTATCGAAATATGTATGCAAATTGCAATTACAACAATTCATAAAGAAGTATAAACAATCAATTAAATAAATAACAGTCGGAAATATTTAATCGCGATCAGAATACAGTCTAATATAAACTATTTCAATCTATCGTTAATATCTACCGACGCCATTACTGTATACTTCGATATATATCGAAGTAGATAAAAAGTTTGTTAATGATTTTAATATTTTATCTTAACAATGACCGACTACAAAATTAACATCATGCTTGCAACAAATAATGTTATAAAGCGATAAAAATGAATAAATATTAATATGAATGTTAATTTTTGTTATAATTGTTTAAACGTTACCAATAATGTTACCAATATTCTCTTCAAAATTTGTCGACTGGTCTGCCATCTGTTATGGCGTCCTTTACGCGCCAATAAAACTTTTCATGGCGTCGAATTTCAATCAGAGACTGCAACAGAAATAAAATACAAATTAAATCATAATTAAACAATGATTGATTATAATGAGGGAATAGCAAAGGGTTAGAAATGCATACTTCGTTGGTCACGAAACGCCGACATGTCTTGACAGGTTTCAACATGTCTTCATAATTTCGAATACAATGGGAGACTGTAACAGAAACGAAATAACGATGCATTAAAGTACACACAAACGATTATTATAATTATGTACTGATTAAATCGAACCCGCATTGCAAGAGATCGTAATTTGTACGCGAGTAGGAATAGTGGAACGATCAACAGGTTAGAAATACGTACCACGGTCGCGGAACGCCGATACGTCTCGACGTCAAAGAACGAATGATGGCCGATCGCTGTGCTCGGTAATGCTCGCGCATACGGCGGCGCGGTGGGGGGAGCTCCGATGTCTCCCGAAGCTTGCATTACGAACCCGAGAGATGCCTCGGCTAGACACCGCGGATAGACTGATTTTAGCAAATTATTTACAACTTTAACTAGTCAAGGAATCGCCAATAATTCGTACTTTTCAACTCGTATGCATTTACACGCAACTAGTCTGCTGCCTATCACACTAATTCAGTGAGTTTCCCAACTGACCGCAATCCATGAGAAAAGGCCGCTAAAATCACCTCCGAATTTTCAGGTCGGTATGGCAGTCAGATTCGGCCGCGAAAGTCCATAAGGTGAAAGATCTATTCATATATCTCGTCTGTGGTGAAAGGTCTATTCATATATCTCGTCTGTGATACTAATTCAGTGAATAGTTTCTCAACTGACCGCCATCCACGTGAAGAGGACGCTAAAATCATCTCCGAATTTTCAGGTCGGTATGGTAGTCAGATTGAGCCACGAAAATCCATAAGGTGTAAGCACAGACGATTACATGAGCTGTTTTTTAGCGCACTCTACGTTCAAAGATGGAAAACAAACACTGATATTAATTAACATCGGACATGGTAGTCTTTTTCATTACGTGTTATGCAACCTTTAACTGATAGGTGATATCAAAGAATTGGCAAGTTGGGCCTCTCTTTTAGTAGATTAATTTTAATCTTTTCGAATGACTTTTTTATTAATCTTTATCATTTCTAAGGCAGAGATTCTAGAATTTTTGTTAACCCCCCTCCTCTTTTGAAATCTTTGAGATACATCGCAGGTTCACACGCAACGAGGACAAATATTTAGTGGCAATTACAGCACGATAAAAGTATCCCGAATGCAAGACAATGCTCCATAACAAAAACTGGACCAATTTAAATACTCCTTACACAGTTAACATCTCAATCGTCCAATTAAGAAACGACGTGTCCCTCGGAACACGCGAAAAACATAATTGTCAAGGCCACCGTACATTCTGCATTACAGAACTACTTTCTCGTTCGTAATTGGCAGGTGCAACGATAGCATGGGGGGCTGAAGCTATGGAAAATCACTATGGAAACCCATGAAATACGTAAGTCGACGCGAACCGAACCGAACATGGCTCTTCGTTAACTGAAGATAAAACGTCAGTTTCGAAAGAGGGTTAATAAAACCAATTTACCCATAATTGGAGTATAATTTGTTGCTTCGATGGGAACCAACGACGAAGAGAACATTGAAGGAAGGAACGGTTCATCGAGGAGGAAAATACATTCGACGCAAAGAGATTTATGGTTGAAACCGTTGTTGAAGTTGAAGCAACAGGAGGACATTATTGAAAGAGGAATAGTTACTGCCATCGGTAACATGAAGATAGACGGGGATTTGTTGAAGGATATTGTCCACGAACAAAGGGAAATAACATCCAAAAGGTATAATTTAATTGAGTATTTTAAAATATTTTTGAGCAACAGTAAAATTTTTGAAAAATAAATCACTACACGAAGACAATCCGGTGATTGTTTTATAATATTTTCATTCGGTAGACAAACCTTTCTAAACTCGATGTATCGAAGTATAGAGGACATCGCGAACGAAATGGAGTCTGCCAAACGCGTGACGAAGGACCCTGAGGAATTAAAAAAATTAGGTGAACGCGATGCTTTAATTCTGATGTAGCGAATCGATCGAGACAATTCGTATAAACACTTTTATTTCTATTTGTGTGTAGATGTAGACACGTACAAATTAAAATTGATCAAATTTTGGCAAAAAATGCAGGATTTCAAGAAATCTTGCTCCATCGATACCTTAGTGGAAGAACAAAACGCCCTTGGCGCCGAATTACGCGAATTTGTGCCGCAGCTAGAAAAATACGAGAACGTCCAGAAGAACATTTTATCGTCGTGCCAAAATCTAATAGAAAACAGGAAAGAGAGAAAAGATTACGGGGAAGTGGAGGATTTTCATGAACTGGTCGCGAGAACAGGTAGTAAAAATAAATTTTGAAATCGTGAACGTACGAAGGAATTGAAAATCATAATTGTAGGGCACATGAATAATTGGACGTCGGAGGATCACCTGTACTTCCTGAAAATGCGAAAGAAATGTGATAAAATTTCGGCCCTGGTCGCGGCCATTAAAAAAAAATGCCCCGATCTATCGACGGTGGCTATAGTGAATCACGAGATATGGTACAAACGGTACACGAATTTACGCGAGAAGCAAAAATCAGCGATAAAGGAATGGCGACAGAGAAAGGAACTGGAGAAAACGAAGAGCGTCGATGAGTTTCGGAGCACCGAGAGCTGTTTCGAAGATGATTTGAACGAGGATGAGAAAACGGTGACTTCGAAACAGAAAAGGGCATCGCGAGCAGAAGCGTCGAGATCGAATCGCAGCGCGGACTCGAACGAAAGCGAGAAGAAAGAGCTGATTAAAAAATGGCGGATGGAGAAGGAGAATAAGCGCACGATGGACGAAGAGCAAATGAAAGTTCGGATGAAAATGAAACGGGAAACGGAGGAGAAGCAAAGAAGAAAACGACGGGAGAGGATCCAAGAAGCTTTGGAGGAATATAAGAAGAAGAAATATTTCGAAAACGCGTCGAGGGAATCGAGCGCGGACTCGAAAGGGAAATGTACCTACGATTCAGCGTTGGTCAAAGCTTTCAGGTTACATTTATAGTAAATGTATAATATCAGTACTTCGCGATTAATAATATTATTTAGAAAAGCGTAATTACAGAAAGCAGGATGAAGAGTACACGAAAAGAAGAAAAGACTTGATACTGCGTTCGCAGAAGTCCCATAAAATTGAAATCACGGAAGAGAAAAGGTCGGAGCTTTTGAAAAACAGAAGCTTTTCCACTCTACTGAACAGTACAGCGGTTTGGAGAGAGAAATGCAAGGATGAAAGTCCGGTGAGACGTTCTAACGAGCTGTTGTACATTAAAGACATTCCGAAAGTGTAAGTATACGAAGGAATGATTATTACATATAATTATTTTATAATTTGAAGCTATGTTACAGATGCTTTCGATGGAGAAACGAAGAATCTGGAGATTTGAAAAATATGATAACGTTCGATTAATCAAGTAATGGAGCATTTACTTGTCATCGTATAGTTAAGTCTGTGATGTTATCGTCTTGCATGCTGTATTATTATAACACTTAATATATTCTAAAATAATAATAATAATTGTACTTACCTAGTTCGATGATAAAGTACTTTAGATTAGGCGAGTAACCCAAGTTATTATTTACTATCTTTTCATTTACAACGAATAAATCTTGAAAATAGACTTTGTTCTTTTAGAAAACTCAATAGATCGATATGCATTGGACGCTGACTTTGGAGGTGGATTCTTAGTGTGTTTCGGTGCTATCAAATTACTTGGAATTATTTTTAAATAGTAAGTCTAACTCCCACGAGTAAATAATTTTGATAATAATTATTCTAGTTCCACGGAACTTTTCTAAAGGGGCAGGAGGAAATGAACGAAACCAATTGATACATACTTAATGTTTATTTTTCTTTACGAACGTACCGGTTTCTTCAGACGATGTACATAATAAGTTATGAGTAAACGAGCGTTGGCATTATCCAGGACCGTCGTTCTCGGCTCTAAGTGGACCACTAAATTGGTTAATTCCTCCTCCTAGTTTCCTGAGCGTGCGCGATCCTCGCGTCTCTTAAAAACGCAAAACAAAAAGAAATGCCAACAAAACGAAATCGCGTGTATCGGTAAAAAGACGATTTATCATTGTTCCAGCACAGTCGTGGATAGTACCAATTCTCAATTATTTTACTCAAATATATAATATACTTTCTATTAACCTTCTTCGTTCGTTAATTCGATATCCATTTCTCTCTCACTCTCTCATTAGATTACCAAATACAAAAAACATAGGTGATACAATATATGTATAATGTTATAATACAAATGTGCCTCGTACTGTGCTGAGTACGATTTCGATAAGGATCGACGTGTCCTCTGTACGCCTTATTTTTTCAACCTATTTATTTATTTTTCTTCTCCCCCATAATTTCACGGTTCACGTCGACGCCTTATCAACATCTCGTCTACGGGCACCCTTACGAGTAGACTCCTTAAATCGTATATTTCCGTTTCTGTCCAAACTATGTATACATACATATATATAACGGCCTATATATGTATATATGCACGTAGAAATATAACCGTTTAGAATTCGTAATGTATGTATATCTTCTAGAAGTTTATTACAACGAACAATAAAGTGTTTAATGAAACGCTCCAACGTACTTGTCCCTTTCGCGCATTCGCACTCGACCTTGTCCCCCCCCCCCCCCCCCCACATTTTCTCTATCGTACACATATACTCTCTCACTCACTCATAAACTCGCTCATTTTCTCCCTCGACACACACTGCATTCACGGTGCAACAATTGCGACGCATCCCCCGATGCAACGAGGGCTGCCAGACGATACGACTTATTTTGTGACCCCTGCTTTATAATAAATATGTACACGCGAACACTTTGTACAGTTAAAGATCATCTTTGCCCCCATTTTCCTAGACGTGTCGATCCCTTATTATACAGACTACCCGAAAAGAGTAAAGTCGAATTTTGTACGGAGTACCAAAAGGTTCGACTATTTAGATTAGAACAGTTTATACGAACAAGTGACTGAAACTTTTATATCAAAGTGCTATGATTCGTTGGCAGAACTGTTTTTATAGGTCTCGTAGTTAATTGGACGAGATAGGCCAATCCCCGTAAGCAAAAAAATGAAATAATTTGATGGGAAATAAATTAACTTGATATTTTCATAAACAAGCACACTCGAACACCTGCTGTAACCTATGAAACAATTGCTATAATAATTAACGTTAACACTACAAGAATAACTGACGATCTGTCAAAGCAATTCTCTCTAACCTCTTCAGGGACGAATTCCTTGAATATGCTACAAACTATACTAAAATTTCGTTATGAATATTTATTCAAAATTTTCGTTCCATGTTACAATATTTAAGATACAGTTGCACTGGACTGACAAATGGAATGGTAGCTTAGCAACGAGTGAAATTGAAGGTGAAACAGAGTAATAATAAGTGGAAAGTATCGAGGTTCTATTGCAACTTGAAAGGTAACGACCACGCGTGTATTAATATCCCTGAAGAGATTAAGAAATTGCTTTCGGGCAACTTTTCACGTCCACTCGAGTCCTTCGACACGCCGTACAAATTCGTCCCCAGACTTTCCAGCCACCCTGTATTCGTCGTTTCGTCGTCGATAACCCCCGGACACGGTGTCTCGCTCTCACCCTCTCGTTTCCCTCTCCTCCCTTCGAGGCTCAACAGGTATCCATCGACCCTCTCGCGCTTTTCTTTTCCTAGTTTCCTTTTCTCTCGTTATCGATCGACCGACCAGGATCCATGGAAAAGTCCGCGACGCTTTCGTAACGAACGCACTCGACCTCGAAAGGGCGACGCATTAGGGGATGCAGGGCGCGCAATCGTTCGTTGAAACTCGAGCGCGGATTTTCGCGCGCCGAATGGAGACTTCGATGCCTCCCCTCGTCGATAGGAAGTCAACCTCTAACTTCTAGCATTGCACATTTAGGGGACGGTAAAGATTCGAGATCCTGGATCCGCGTTTCGCCCGAAGAACGACTGTTTCCATTTTCTTTCGCGTGTTTGTGTGTGTGTGTGTTTTTTTTTTAAAAGAATTATCTACGACATCGAACTGCTTTGGCGGACAGATGGGAACGCGATCGATGAGGGAGATACGTGCAAGCTACGGTCCAAAATATTCCAAATAAATTCCTTCGTTGGTTTAATTTCACCGCGCATTATATCGATGATAACCGTAGGTTTCTATTCGTCAAGCCACGAAGTTTAACTTTAAAGATGGCGTTTCGTTCTGAGGTCCAAGTTACACTTCGAGACTTTGTGGATACCTTAGAAAGTTCAAACCATAGTTCAAATTCTTGATTAAGACGACTGACAAAACAACGTAAAATAATTAGTTCGATTAAGAATTGTTTATCAAATTTCTAACCTCTAAATAGATTAACAATAATACTTAGTTATCATTGATATAGTGTACTGTTACTATTAGACGGAGAAAAGAATTTCTTTCGAAGATTTATTCTTTGCTAACGGTTACGATCAACCAAGGAACCAAGTTTTCAAAATTACTGTACTAGTCTCTCGATTAAATCCAATCTCGTTTTAGCGAATATTGTAAAGTCTTTAGGGTTCGCGAGGTTCTGAAAGCACGTTCGGCTAATCTAAAAGCAAGAAATGTCCGTGGATCGACGAAACACTTCTCGACGATGCCAGTCGATCGGAAGTATCTCCGAGGCGTTCTTAAGTTTCAACACGCTAAATAAAACGAATATAAAATCCTAAGACTCTGTTAATGGAACAAGCAGCGCACTTGTACGGATCCCCGGACACTTCTCGCAGTGTGCAGTCACTTAAAAACTAATCGAATGAATCCATTTTGACTCCTTTTGCTGCCAGATTTATTGACGTGATATAGATGAATGTACATCTGGGCCCCAATAAAGTGCTACTTTAAATCGTAAAACGAAAAGGAAGCGTAATCACCTAGACATCGCCAGCTTGCGTTCGTTAACAAAGTTCCGCGGACTGACCTCCGGATCCGTGAAGAGCGCGCGGCCATCTTCCCAGTTGCGCGCGCATCGCGGTCAGCTGACGCTAATGGCGCGTCAACTTAGCGCGGTCTAATCAAAACGCAGATCGTTTCCTCGACGATTACAGAGTGGAAGTGCCAAAGAGAAACAAAAAAAGAAACAAAATATCGTTCAACGCGGGATAACGTTGAACATTCGACGTTTGATCGTTGAAGAATCCCAATCTGTCTAATATTTTTTGCAATTAACCCATTTGGTAGTTTCACTCCGCAACCGTATAATCTTCGAACTACACGGTGACCTAAAGTACGCATATTCGCACGCCGATGTTTCGAGTTCGATTTGTGGTCCAGTAATTCCTTTCGGTGTTCGCGTTATGTGTGCATTCGAGTCGTTCAGGAGATTGCATTCGGAGTGGATAATTGTCGACGGCAGCCAGCTGGCTCTATAAACGTATAAAAAAGACGAATTACCGCGGTGGAAATAGCGATACCGTCTCTTCTGTTTTGTATCGCTACGATCGCAGCTGCTCGTTCGATCCTCGGACGTGATAAAAATTTGTTACACGGATCTCGGTGACACCCGATCCTGAACGACCGAACGGAAGAACCGTCGCGGATATAGAGGAAACACAATCAGCGTCAGAAAACCGCGACGTCGCCAGATAGATTTTTCACTCACTTTTCCAGTTTTGTTTACATACTTTTTCTTTTAACTCGTTCGTCGCTTCGCAGGTCCGCTTGGTTTCGCTCGCCACATCATCACCCCCCCGTCCCAAACCCCTCCCCGCCGTCGTATGCTTCCCCGTCGAGAGTGTAAGAGTCGCTACAATATTTTTTTGTTTACTCCTAAGCTTGTATAAAAACGATACTTCTTTTTTTTTTTTGTTCTTTGTTCAATACACCAAAGACGAGTGCATAAAGCAAACTATATTGGGACAACATGAATTCTGAATAAATACTTAATATTACAACAAAATCTTAAGTATTCTTCGTAATGTCACCGCTATATAGTTTGTAAGAAAATAAGATTACTTTACTTGAAATTTGTATGTACAGATATTACAAACAACGTTCTCGTAATGCATAGGCAATGTGTTTTTTTTTCTTTTTTTTTTAACTACACACTTCTATTATACATGCCGTGGAGCAAGTCTAACGGATCCGCCCTTCTATACTTTATTTTATCTCTCTTTTTTTTTTTTTGTTTGTTTGTTTTGCCCCTTGTTTCTCTTTTGTTCATTCGAGTTTCGGTTGGCTCTTCTCGTCGTTGTCCCCCGAGTATTTTACCGACACGTTCGCGGTTCGAATATATCTGTGACGAATTTTCCACGCCTACGGAGTACCTCCCTGCTCCGAATCCTTTCGTACTGTACGCAAGCACCGGTCCACTCGTCGTGTAAATGAAAAACTAACACTTCGTATCAATGTTGCTCTTATTATTCAATATAATTTACACAGACAACTTAGTTCGGACGTGATTCATACCGCGCAACTGTCGCACTCGGGTTCTCACGAATAGGGAACTTGGTTCGGAGCTCGGTTAACGGACGTTTGCTCGAGATCTAGATCGAATGCGCCGAAACAATTTCTCTAATTTTGCTTTATTCGCCTTCGACCGGACGAATTTCTTGCAAGGAGGGCAGAAAATTTGCTTTTTTTTTTTTTTAAATTAATAGTATCTTAAATAATAGGTTTCAACGAAAAACGCTTTCGTTTCAGGCATATGTTTTGTTCTCGAGATAAGTAAGGTTGAAAGTAAAAATTTAGAAGTCCTTGTATCGAGGAATCATTAATATTATCTTATCGATTTTAATAAGAGAATAACATCAGTTATTTTTGTTCATCTAAAGTGGATGTTTTCAATAAACAGCTATAAATATTCATTTGGAAATAAAGTGATATTAAACCTTCTTGTTCCTGTTATGGAAATTTAAAAACTGCATCACTATTTGAACGCTACAAGGACTTCAACTTTTGTATCCTTATCGTTTATAAGAAAAAATATAATGTGAACACAAGACTCGTAAAACATTGTATCAGAAATTTATAAGTGAAACAATTTAACAAAAGAAGGGCATTTCTTAAACCCCTTAAGAGATCGAAATAATATATTTATTACAACATTAACGTCTGTAAAATACATATCAAATTCATTCTGTTTCATCGTAAAAAAAATAATACCAGACGGTTCTAGACACGATTCCCGACATATCCGTCTCATGATTTAAAAGTTTATAATCTCAAATTCGTCAGAAAAAAAACAACGTTACCGATTCATAATTTGCACCTACCACAAATTTTCCACGCGCCAAGGGGTTAAACAGCTCAAGACATACAATCTAAATAGAATCGATAAAAAAAAAAACCGTGTTTCCATTTTCAGTCCTCTCCTTATCAAAACAAAGAACCGTTTCAAATCATCTGATCGTTGCAATAAACAGTTCGTCTCGGCGAGTACTGTACACAAAATCGAAAACGACAAAAGACGAAAGAAGCGACATCGACGATAACTGAACCAAGTTCCTCCAAAGTCTCTGCTGCGATTCGAACGTACATGGACCGAGAAAATCTTAGATGCGCATCCACAGTGTGTGTGTCCTAGCCAACAAGATTAATCCTAGGATCGCCGATCCCCGGCGACCATTATTTAAAATTCATTTTTGCATCGCACACGCACACGCATTCTCTCTCTCTCTTTCTTTCCAGTCACATCTCGCAGAGCACCAGCATCCTCTGTACACAGTGTTGCTCGGTGTTTTGTGTCCCACTTTCTCGCACCGCCGTCCACCGGTGGCGGAGTCCGGCGCCATTTTATAGAGCGTTCGGCACTGGTCGTTCCCGTTCAACCGATCTATCGCGAAACGGTTGAAGCCTGGTACGCACGCACGCACATCCACCCACACACATCGTATATATATGTACACAGCGCGCGGACACCACCGCACTCACACTAGAAAGTCAGGGTCACTGTAGTCCTCGCTCTCGCTACTGTCGGAGATTCTTCTCCTCTTCTTCTTCTTGTGTTTCTTAACCTTTTCCGTTTTGTGCGCGCGATGCTTTCGGTGCTCCTTGGCGTCGTGGTGGGCGTGTATCGTGAGCTTCGGTACGCGCGGCGCTGGCATTTGATGCGGCGCGTTCGCGGACGCGTTGTGCACCGGCGTCACCGGCCCCGAACCGGCCATCGAGTTCACCGAGTTGTTTGGGTACTCGATCGTCGAGTTCAGACTGGCAACAGCGTTGCTGGTCACGCCGCCGTCCGCCAGTTTACCCTCGATCTCGGAGTTGCCTATCTTCCCCGTGGTGTGCTCGTTCGAGTGCTTGCCGCTCGTGTCGGCCTCGTTCTTGTCATCCTCGCCCTCCTCCAGGTCGAACTTGAGCATCAGCTGCTTGAAGTCCAGGTACTCCTTCACCAGGTTCCTCCTGCCATCCGCGTCCAGCTCCGCGTTGCTGTCGCCCCCCTTCAGCCTCTGTAGTGTAGCCTTTGGTTTGAACAACAGATTGCTCTTGCGATTCACGGCTTTCTCGTAGACCTTGGCCGCCTCGGTCGGCGAGTACTGGCCGATCTTCTGATCGGAGAAGCCGTAGAGGTCCTTCAGGTGTTGCCTCAACGTGAGAAGAAGCAGAAAGCCTTGGCTGGCGGTGATGTACTCCCTCAGCAGCGTCGTGTCGTTCGGTACCCTCGCTAGCAGAATGTCCTCGTCCTCCTCGTCGTCCTCTTCGTCCTCCAACGCGGACAAGAGTTGATCAGGCCGCGGCAGACCGTCAGGCCCCACCGTCAAGACCGACTGGCTCTGCTGCGTTAACTGATTGCTGCCTTCCTTCGGTAGTAACGCTTCCCTGAACGATTGCACCAAGTTCGTGCCCGACATTGAGATGATTATGTCTATGTGGTGTATAACGAACAGTGGCTCGTCCTGAACTTGATATGTAAAGTATGCGAGATTGTCGGCCAGGTACAGCATTTGCGACAAGCTCGTTTTAGCGCTCTCGTCGAACTGCTTCAGGAAGGACAGCACGATGGCTCTCCTCTGCTGCTTCGTATTCCTTAAAATGGTGTACAGGAAACCATTCAACGCGCCCGGGAACTCACCTTCCTTTACCCGCATACCCCTGACGATGACGTCCGGCTGCAAGATACCCTGCAATCGGTAGCTCAGCTTGATGCCCAGCTGAGACTTCATGTGAATGAAGCCAGGATACTTCTTCTCGATGTCCTGCAGCTGCTTATCCGCGCTGTGGCTCACCGCTTTCTCGCAATCGGTGCTCATACAGATCAGATAAGGTACTATTTGGACAGGATGTACCAAACCTTGCGCTAGAATCAGCTGTATGACCTTCAGAGCAGCGTGTCGAACGCTCACGTTTTCGTGCAGGAATGCTTCGAGAATTTCTTTCACGTACAGTTGAATTACGGTGCTCGCCATCCCCGAAGACACGTCCCCCATCTCCTTCAGGTTCTCCTGTTTCGACATCTTCGCCCACTCCATGTCCTGCTTGATCATCCTCTTGTCCTCCTCCTGTAGGTACACCTCGATGTTGTTCAACACTTGGATTCTCATGTGAACCAAGGCGTTCTCCGACGTAAGCAGATGATGGTACAGCTCCTTCAACTCGGGGAGCAACATGAACTCGTAGTGACGTATACACAAGGAACCGATGGCTGAAAGCGTGAAACGTCTGATGTCGTCGTTGTCCAGGTGCACGAAGTAATTCAGCGTCTCGAACACCTGGTCCTTGATGTTCTCCGCCAAGCCCTCGATGACGTTTGGATCCGTGAAATTGAAATGCCGCAACAACAAACCGACCGTGAACAGCGCTCTCTTTACGAACGGCTTGTACTTTAAAAGCATAGGATTCGTAGGGTCCTTTTCGTAGAACGATTTGTACTCGGTCAGATGTCCGTAATATTTCTTAAAGCAGTCTCGTATTAATTTAAAATTTCTCGTTACGTTGTTAACTATGGAACCTAGACAGGACAAACAGCTGGCGACGACCGATCTGTCGTGCTGTAAGATCAATTTCACAGAGTCCTCTTCCAGTTGGGCTAAAAAAGTCTCGCTCGGGTGCTCCATCAGCGGCACGACCAACTCCAGAGTGTGGGCGACGCTCCCTATGATCTGATAATCACCTTGCGTCTGACACTTGAGGCTCAGATAAGGCTGTAACGTGATCGCGTGACTGACCAGCAACTGGGGACGTATCTTGGCGAACAGATACAGGGTCGTCAAACAAGCGACCAGTCTCTGCGACGATCCCTTCTTCTCCTGCTTCTCGGACTCCAGATTCGTTTCCTCTAATCGTAGAACGTTCTCGATTAGGCAGTCGACGATCTGCTTGCACGCAGTTAGCAACGCCTTGGGAGGCTCGGTTTGCATCTTTGTACTATCGTCTTTGTCCTCTTTCGGCTTGAACAAGCTTACCAGCAGCTGTTCGAACCACTCAAGACCCATATCTTTGCTAGCTGCCACAACGTCCGTTATGTTCATCACTTTTCTCAAAAGCGACTCGGAGTCCAGAGTGGGACGTTCTCTGACCGGGGTGAACCACATGTTTTGAAACACCTCCATGACCAATTTCCTAATTCCTTCCTCGTCGTTTACTCTCCTGATCATTTTCACGCAGATCTCCGGTATCTTGGGGAAATTCGGGCACTCCATACAGATATCTTTTAGAATTTTAATCACGCGTTTTCGAACGCTGACGCCGGTGTCCAGAATCCTGGCGGACAGCATATCGTAATATTTATCTATTAATTCCGGTCTACTTAGTACAAATTTCCCCACCAAGTCGACGGCCGCTTCTCGCACCGATGTCGCGTGGTCCAGAAACGAATGTTTCACTCCCAGTTGCATGTCCACTCTCGCCAACACGCTCGGGTCTGCTTCGACGATCATCGTTAAACACTTCATAGCCTTCGTCCTGATCGCTATCGACGATTCCATCAGCACGTGGAGGATCTGTTTCAGGTATCTATCGAAGCTTTGCGAAAACGGCCTCTTCGAGGCAAGGTATTGCGATATAAGTTCCGCCGAATTGTAATCGATATACGTCTGCAGAATATCCGGTTTCGTACCTGTACTACACGGCCTTATTCTACTTACAATATACTTCTTCTTCTCCTCTATGATTCTGTAAGCCTCTGAATTCTTCTGCTCGTTATTGTCGTTCTCGTCCGCGTCTGGCTCGTCCAGCTCGGATTCGGACTCCTGGTCGCTGGTGTGATGTTTATTTTTCTTTTTCACTCGTTTTTTATGTATCTTTTTATTAGGGCTGTTCTTCGCCTGACCGACTCTGGACTTCTCCACCGCGCAGTCTCTGTACCATTGGGCCAAATAAAAGTGACGAGCGTATCCTAACGCGGAATCCTTCGTCCCGTTTACTGCCAAATAATCCAGAAGTACTTTCTGTAAAAAAACTGTCCTCTCTTCGTCCTCGCTCAGACCCGTGATCTCCTTGTCCTTAACTTGATCGTAATCCGAGTCCTTCTGTTGCTCTATTTTTATGTCCTTTATAATCTGATCGATGGTAGACAATTTGCATTGGGAATTGACCGCGTCTTTTCGTAATCTGGCCGCAACAACGCCCAGGTAATCGATGGATGCCACTCTGAGAGCCATGTCGGAGCTTTTATTCGAAAAATGACCCACCAGCAGATTTCCAAGCACGCTCAATAGCAATTCGGCTGCCGGCCATTCTGGTTTGTTCACGGTGGCTAGCAAATCTTGCACGAAATTTTCAAACAACGGTCTGTAATCGATCTCCTCTCCTTTGCTACCGCATTTGCTGAGGAACACGGTTAAAAAATTTCCCGCTATTCTGGTTGCCGTCTCGTATTTGTTAATGATTAAAACGTCAGCGTCGAAGTAATTTAGCTTTTTCTCGTCCTTCTTCTCGTCCTCCTCTTGCGATTTCTTTTGCTGCGGGATAATACTGTCTGACAACACAACAACGCATTGGATAAGTTGCAGGACCAATGCCGTTAACATTTGTATGTGATCCTCGGAATTTAACCTGTACGTTCTCAAGCTTCGTTTGCTGCTCGGAAGTCGTGCTATAGACGCTAAAATATCATCGAGTAACAATCTTCTATGCTTTTCGTATTTCGTGAATATAACAGTGACGAGCTTCAAAGCGCTTAACTGAAGGTCGCTAACAGATTCAACAAAAAATGGTGCAACGCCCAGCGTAGATGCATGCAAGACGCTCGTATCCGTTAAAACTTGAATGTTCAATAATTCAGCAAGTAGACCAACTAATTCGTGCATCTTGTTATAAACCTGAAGAATACTTTTCTCGCGCACCTCTTTCATGTGACCCCTCTTTTTACGACCACTAGAATTATAACTGTCAGTCTTGCTTTTCGTATCTATTTTATAAACGGGATCGAAAGAGGGATAAATAGTATTTTGCAACTGAAATTTCATAAAAAGAACTATTCTATCAATTACATCCTCTAAGTAAACCATTTTTGGCATATTACTAGACGTCATAATATGTAACGAGATTAACGAAGCATCTACGGCGCGCTGCACCCTTTCCATAGCTAACTGCGTCCATAGCCGACTTTCGTCGATGTCGTCGTCGGGATCAGCGAGGGGCGAGACTTTCGCTCCGTCTCGGATATTTTTCTCCAAGATATTCAATAGTCTAACCAATCTATCCGCAGGAATGGACTCCATCGCTCCTAACGCTTTCAATTTCGCCGCTTCTGTACATAAATCGTGTAACTGATATTTAGGAATTAACAATTCCGGAGGCACATCACCGTCGTCCTCGAATTCGGCGTTGGTAGTGAAGTCTTCGGTGTTTTCGAATATCGTTTCTATGGTCGTGTTGAAACGCTGATACGTATTAGTCTCCATCAGCTCCTCTACGCTGAGCTTGGCCAACACTGGTACAAGCTTCTTCTCGATCTTCCGTATTTTTGGTTTCGAAGGCGACAGCTGTTCGCTCCTTTCGTCCTCGTCGTCGTCGTCGTCCAACACCCTTCTTCGCCTGCGCGTTTTATCCTCGCTCTTCTTCCTCTCCGCTTTCTCCTTCTCTCTTTGGACTTGACGTTCTTTCGCGCGCGCCTTAAAATATTTATTATTCTTACCGATCTCCTCCTCGCTTTCCGAATCCGACTTGGTCTCGTCGAGATTGGAGATCCCCATTTTCGCGGCCCGGCTCGGCGACTTCTCCGCGAACGCGGCCAGGCTCTTTTGCATCAGAGCCTGGTCCGCCAACGATAATCTGTCCAGCATTACGACCGGCTCCTTCAATTTCTCCGGTAAAGGGCCAGGCATTTTCAATACCTTCTCCGAGTTGTTGTTCTGCTGATGCTGCACCAACGGTGTCGCGGCAGCGTTCAAAGTATTGACTATTTCACTGGTGTCGATGGTCGGGAAAGATGTGGTCTGCGTCGTCGACAGTAAATGTTGCGTCGCGTTATCCAAGCTCTGTTTCGCCTCGATATTCTCGATCGGTAGATCGATATCAGGAAGACCTGTTACTGGATCGAGTAAAAATTGTTGGTTCTCTTGTGCCGAACTATCTATATCCATTGGCTGATGAGTTCCCAGTGGATGATGTACTTGTTGATTCATCATAGGATCGTAGATGTTTTGCTGCATGTTAATGGTTTGATGCTGCGGCATAGGCACGTGCGCACGCATAGGGGATGCCATGTGCATGTTGTGCTGAGGCGTCATGCCAGCCATATTATGGTGTTGCGGTGTTACGTTGCCGAGGGTCGTCAACGGCGTACCAGGAGAACTCATATGTGCCGGTGAATACATATTTGGTTGCTGTGTTATGTTAGGCAGAGGATTGATGCCGACGGGCGGGGGAAGCACCGTTCTGGCAGCGGCCGGATGAGCTGGACTACCTTGCGGCGTTTGTCTCGACCCCGAAGAACTCGAGTAAGATGGTGAAAATCGTCCATAATTTCCAGACGTCTGATTGGTATTATGCATGATAGGTGTTCCCTGCGCCCAGTTTCGTGGTGAATTATACTGGGGGCCCTTGAATACGTGCGGATTTATTTGTAGAATCGCCTTGAGTAGTTCCGGAGTGTTTTGCTCGGTTTCCAAAGGCTGTTCAGTATTTGCATAATTGTCTTTCAATTCAATATGATCGGACGACGTTTGCGATAATGATAGTATTAATTGCGGCACTAAGTTCTCGTTGCGAACACTTAATAGTATTTGTGCTTCTTCCGCCACTCTTGGATGAAACAGCAGGGACTTGTTAGTCAATGTCTGTGGCAACGGCGTTGGAAGGGGCATTTCAGGTAACAAGTCGGTGAGACTCGCGATACCAGCGAGAGTTGTGATTGGCACACTCGGTATAACCCCGTTCATCTTGAATATGATTTGTTCTGGCATTACAGCCTCGACAAAAAATATTATTAAAATTAGGTCTAGTGTCCTTACGTGTACTCTGAGGTTCATAGAATTATCCAACGTAACGAACACTGCACTAACATATTATAAATGTTCCGTTCACAGTATGTGATAAATATAAATTAACAGAACATATCTAAATGCACTGTTTTCACAAATGTTTAAAGAAATCATTGTTAAAAATCTTTACACTCGCATTTTCAAGACATTCCGACGTCAAAATTATTTCACCGTTGAACAGAATCGTATCTAATGCTTGTTAAACAACACTAGCACTAAGATATATAATGGGAACTTAACAATGTCTCTTTTAAGTTCCCATGATGCATCAGAAAGTATCAACCAAATTTTGACGAAGCTCGAGGATCCTCCAACAAACGGTCCATTGTTAGTTGTAATTCTCTGTCCTGGAACAGAGAAGATTGCGTCCAATAAAATATCTCAATCATTTATTCGTTATACAATCTATTGAAAACATTAATATTTTAAAATAAGGTAAATAAATGATAACATTTTTGTACATTACATAAATATTCATATATAACACATTAAAGTAAGATGCAACCAAATATTTAAATAATTGAGTGCTATTGATTTAAAATGTAATAAAAATAATATAATAAATCTTCTTATGCAAAATAAAACTAGTATAAATACAAATTCACACAACACTGATTCGGTGACACAAGCTTTCATAAAATATAAATTTTGTGTAAATTTACTTTATTAACTGCATATCGCGTGAAAACGTTTAAAATTATCATAAACGCGAAATAAAATGTTAATAGTTCACGATAAAATGTCACAGAATAGATTTCAAAAAAATAATCTTAGTCATACATGAAGGTTAGAGTAATCTGATATGATCTATTTTATGCTAATTTCGGGAAATATTGTCAAATATTACACTGTATTTTAGAATTTTACATAATCTCACAATAATGCATCGAATAAAACATTATTTAAGTCAAAGTGTTAATAAGAAGAATCATTTACTGCAGGTACTATATGTACCTATCTATGCATACATACACATATATATATAAGCATGCATAGTGTGTATACATATACATCCATACAAACTATACCACACAAAATATTACCAAATTGGAATAATTAATTGTACAATTATTTCAATTATCCTTCACAAGTTTCTTCGTGGTCGAGACCAACTCGATAAATGTAACACTTACAAGAAAACATCCATCAAACAAAACAGAAACCAAAATAACCAACAAACAAAGCGATCAGTGCACATGATATCAATGAAAGTGTCATTATTTCTATAGAAAATTCTATTTCCATCTGCAAGCCCGACTATTTACATCACTGATTCACATAATTTCATCTGTCGATTCGCACAACATTCAATGGTTGTATCACTATAGCCACATAAAGCTGATATTATTACCTTCAATTGTTGGATATCTACCATCCAACATCATATGTATGATAACATGGCCTTAGGAGGATGCTATTGGCTGGAAACTTCTTCAGCGAGCGCAATTCTGCTAAATAATAGAATTGCCATGTTCAGTGATGCTAGTAGAAACGCTTGTATGTCATTTTGACACAACGGAACGAATATCGGTCGAAGTTTCGTGTCAATTGCCTTACCGAGCTACGCGCAACGATTATTTATACTGCAGAATGCGAGCAGTGAATGGAATTTTGGCGGGAGGTGTGTCGATATCCAAGAACCCCGGCTCGTTCAATCTATAGAAACCATCGACGTTCGCGCGTCTGCCAAAACAACGGTCCCTTCGTGGTGAATCGACTCGCAAAAGTTTTCGTCGTGAAGATATTCACTCAATTGTCATCCGTGGTTGTGGCCTATTTGGTTGGACACGTTTCCCCCTCGATCACCAGGGAACACTCTGCTCCACGACACCGCACGATTTTCACTTACATTTCTCACGGCACCGCGTAAACATCGCCATGTCAAAGGTGGTGTATCGCGGGGAAAACAGTATTTATAGTGTGAATACGAAGAAAACAGACACAAAGGCGTCCATTTTCCTCAGCAGCGAGTTAGCGGAAGTTGCGTAGTAGATACAGGCCAGATACAGGTATACCGGCGCTACGGCGTCGCATTTCAAATTACGGTGAGCCGTTCGCATGAGGGCGATATGGTCAATCCATAGCGTTAAGTTTTATTAATTATATTCAACAACGCAATCGAAATGGTAATTAACATGTTTTTAGTGTGATTGATCTTCTAACCGAACCCCTGGTCCCTCGATTATGTCCCTACCGTATTCGCGCTAGGACGCTCCCCTAGTTTATCGTGACCAAGAAGCGAAATGCATACGAAGAACGTCTACTTAATTCTTCTTCGTCGCATCGAATATGGTAATTGAAAAACTGAATCCCCGTCTACAATTATATTACAATCAGGCTATGTATACGCGTCCTATAGTCGTTGATTAAACGAAACTTCGTTTGATTGTCAAATAGGTATGCAAAAACAGTTGGCAGTTCCGATAGTCAGTTTCCCAGTAGACTTTCGATACTATGTTTTGATTGTATAGTCGATGGCATTCAGAGCCGGCATCAACTGTATGCCGAATAGGCACCGGGGTTAGAAAAATGACACAAATATTTGTGAAAAATGATAAGACAATTAATACCGAAGTAAGAATTATTGAATTTAATCCGTCGACGAGTAAACTGTTTTCGAATTGTTGTATATTCGTTATCTAATATGCAACCTTTATAAGTTTGACGTTCAGAAAAACAATACAATGATTAAAGATAAAATTTAGTCGTTCTGAAAAATAAAAGTCTTTATGTGGGGGTGCCGCCATTAATTAGTGATACTTAAGGCGCCGCATACCATTGAGACGACCCTGAATGATACAGTAAATTTGTTTGCAGATGACGCCACTAGTGCCTCCTTTGATCTTTCGGCAATTATCGCTTAAAAAGATATTTTCCAATTAATGACTGTTTCAATTAACTCACTTAGTGTCGATATGTAATAATAGATGCAATTGCTGCCGGTCGAGTTTCATTTCTACTTGTTTTATTTCGAAACTGATACACGAAGAATAAGGTAAACGATGACTTGCTATTTTAATATAACAACACATAAAACATTTTACATTAAAACATCGCAAATATTAATCTTTGGAGGTTGACATATTTTCGAATTTGGAATTCGTATGCGCATAACGTAGCGCCAAATATCCATGAATCTTTATACATAGCATATCTTAAAAGTCCCTATTTTTTGCGATAGAATAAATCTAAAAGAAATACTTCCGTAATACGATTAGACGTATATTTTCGTACATAACACAAATATCAAATCGAAAAGAAAATACAAAGTTTGGTTAGGATATGTTACTATGAAAACAGATTCGTTATTCATAGCTCGAGGCTGAAGGAAATCTAATAAACAAGTTTAAAATAATCGAAATATAGTTTAAACATTTATATGTAGTGAAAAAATGTATAATAAATTGTTAACTTGTTCTATCTTACAAAAATGGATAGGGATTTTCTGTGTACACTGTATTTCTATGCGAACAGGTTGGCGCATCGTCCGATAGAGCGCGCTGTAATCGGCGGAATTTCGACTCTCGTGCTCGAAGGCTTAAAAAATAAAATTCTGAGTAAAAACTCCAAAATGGCGCGACTGCTAAGCGTAAACACCCAGTTTTGATGTTAGTGAGGCGCATTGGCCGCGAAGGATTTGTGTGAAAATTCAACGACCTGTTACTTTTTTTTGTGTTTAACTGTGTGACGAACAAATTTTACCTGAATGTTCACTGTATCCACGATCGCCCATTCTATACCAGGTAAATATCGAACCTATTTGACTTTAAAAGTGTTTTCCAATCCGAAACCTAGTAATCTGCACGGAAATCGTGCTCGAATTTTCGTTAATATCACTGCCCATCGATGCTACGATATTTATATCATGAATTTAAAAAATTCGAGCGATTTCTAAGCGAATTTTGAAGCGTCGTGTCTTCTCTTTAAGTGGGACACTTTTCTATCGTAAAATGCTAGAAATTCTCTCTATTACCTGCTCCTCTTAACATGCTAATACGTTATCTTGTCATAATGAGAGCAAAAATTCTCATTTGTGCTATGTTTAAGTAATGATTATTTTATTAAATGTGCATGCGTATGCACCTACAAAGAATCACAAATTTTGAAGCAAATGAAGTTTACGAGAACCAAATACATCAACATACATTATAACAAAGGGAGACAAATTGATATTTAGAAGATTTTTTAAATCAAAATGCACATATTACTCATTCTCCCTTGTGATAATGTTCAAAATCATATCAGTCTTTAAATTTACTTTGATACTAACTATTTAAAAACTTTCTATTTGCTGTATAATCTCATTCTGTCTGTAAATCTTTTATAAAGTTTAAAACTGTACACAGTAGTTTTTTAACGTTTGTAATTGTTGCAGGGAGTGACCCGAGTAAAATGACCCAGAAGCGCAGTGCTAGTATGGCTCATATAGGGTATGTTTTGTTATAAAATAACACATCATATTTTTCCTTTTATACCCTTGCACAGAGTGTTGTGGCGTATGTGTATGGCAAAGAGAGATTCAGGATGTACAATAAGGAAAAAGCGTTTGTATTATTATATATGCTTGATAAGAGTCGAGGGTGTCCCTTTGTCACCTTTGCATTTGGATGCAAATAATTGTTTAAAAAATTATTTACTACGACGATACATTTTCTTTGTATCAATTACAACAAGTGCTAATTTTCAGCACTGTTTTTTAACGAATTTTGAAACGAGAACGTTTGGTACAGTGGTAACTGTGGTGCAAGCTTAGATCTTGCACACACACTGGAAAGTTTTAGTCACTCTCGATTAAATACGATTCCCAGAAGCGCCACGCTACCTATATAAGATCAGTTACTGTGTCTGGCACAACAGCAGGCAATTTCTGAGCCGATGCTCGCTGATATTCCTTCGCGCCAGCGCCAGCCATTGCGACACCGTCCAAGAAACATTTCGTTATCGTAAACATCGCATACTTTTACTGCCGGCGCGGGGACCGTTCCCCCGGTACACTTTTTACATAAGAATTTATACGTCAATCCGCTATAAATACACGTCCACTCGAATCACTTAAAATTACCTCGTAATTTCCATGCAGTTGCGAACTTTTCTTTAATCGCTCCAATCTCGGTATAAACGACGTACACGAGAGTATCGCGACGAATGATTAGAAATTATTTTTATTCCCCGGACGTGCGCTTTCTTATCGTGTGTTGTAAAACAGATAGGCAATTGCGAAGTGGGGGATCGAAGATAAATTATCTCGAATACGCGTGGAACTATAAAAATTGCGTGCATAGATGCGCATGGAGGAAATCTTGAGATCTGTTCCAGGCTCGACTTGAAATAAAGGAGAATTTTCTAGATTGTATCAAAATTAGTTCCCTCGTATCAAAATCAAATTTACAAAAAAATCGCATTTTTCAAGGTTTTATGATTGTGCAAAATTTTTATAGAAAATTCACAGAGTCAAATTTCACTGGTATCGATACTTGATTCAATATCATATTAAAAAATCTCAAATAAAATTCACCCATCGTCTATGAGTTTCCCATTTGTAATACACCGAAGAAACATTTTTATCGCCATTGATGCTCCCCAGAATACCACAGTTTGGTGAAATACCCCAGAAGATTACAAATATCTAAAAATAAATGTGCTCGCAATTCCAACTAGAATAATTCGATCGATAAATTATAAGTAGGTATTAATAACTGAGAATTGTAAAATATATCCACGTGGGTAATCGGGTTGGCGAACCCGTCCTCAGGAGCGTCGTCGTCCTCGTGGGCGCGTAGCGTGCACAACGAGGACGATGCATCCCAAGCTAAAAGTCATGCTTTACACGGTGGCTGTTCTGGACTGGCTCTCTGGTGGGAGAAGTGATAGTCCTTAGCGGGGTATAGCACAGCGGCACATTATGCGGCTATGGTGGAATCAGTCACTGGCGAGTTGTGGGTGGTGACTAGTCGGCGATCCATCCGTCCGAGGAACGTGCTTCCGCGTTCGTGCGTTTTCGCGAGAGTCCCCGAATTCCAATGGTTCGTCGATCGCGATCCAGGCCCGGTATCGTTCGCCAATCGCCCCGAAAGTTCGCCTGGTTCCGGATCCTCGGCACGTGTCGCGTCGTTTCGATCGTGGATATCGAACTTCCGAAATAACTCGCGTCCGCGAAAGTGTCCACGTTTCGAGGATCGATGAGAAACGTTGGTGGTTACAAGTTGAACTTGTACCCCCCCCGGGAGGATCGTGTGGGGTTCGTCGACGGGGCCCGGTGGAGCGAGGCAATCGAGGCGAAATATAATGGGTGTCGCTGATCGGTCGGATTAGTCGTTCTTATTAGGCCCGGGCGCCTCGCGTGAAAGCGATCCGTACTTTCCAAAACGGCACCGAAAGCGCGGACAATGCATACGCAATCGTACCGCCGTCCTCGCCTGGTTCCCTCGAACGTGTCATTATCGCGGTAAAAGTCGGACCCACCGCCGCGGTAATGGAACTTTGAGGAGATGAGTCTTCGAACCCCGTTGTTTCGGGGCACGTTTTCATCGAGGAGATTGTGATCCAGCGAGTGTCGAATCGAAAAAACCGTTCTGTGTCGAGTGAGAATCGAGGGAAAATAGTGTTCGATGGAATTTTCTTCGGTTTCTTTTTTAGCGTTCAAGTGGTCCAAGAGATATTCGAAGATCCGTTCGCGATAGCCGTGCAACGTTTAATCGCGCGGGGGGACGTTTGTTTGACATTCTTGTACGGTGCGGCTGGAAAAGTGGAAATAAAGTCCGGCTGGACGGGGGATAATTCTTCGCCGCGTCGCCCGTAAATACTGCTCGGGGACGAGGAAAAATTGCCGCGGATATCTACGGCCAACAGGCCTGGAATATCTGCCAGAAACGCGCTGCGAGCAGAGTGTAAAGTATCAGAGATTCATCGGGCATAGATCTTTGCGTAAAGATGACGAGATAACCCGGGGAGGTGAACGAACGGTTTCAGGATTCCAATAGGGAATCTTGAAATCCGATGCAAACTAGCTGTTCACCGGTTACCAGAAATGCGTGCTCCGAGATTAGACAAACTTGGACGTTTCGTTTCTGTATAGATATTACCGGAACAGCTGGTTTGATAAGGCTCCAAGAAGTTCCTGGGATATAAGGAATAGGAGCTTCAAGACTCCAGGGCAACAAGAGCAACTTGGATCCTCTTCTTTACACTCCTCGTAAAGGGATTAGGTGGTAGAGAAGAATGTGATTTGTACAAACCCTCTGGCAGGTGTCCAAGAACACAGCAACATCATAGAACCTTTGGGCTAGATACAGAATCTATGGGAGCAGCTAATCTAAACAACTTGTTTCTATGTTATTGAACGTCTACCATGTTAATGAATGCAGGGAATCACTCAAGACTTAATTAACGAAGGCAGAAGTTCCTAAGCAATCAGGAGGAAACAAGTACTAACAGGAGATTCAAGACGCTAGGATAAGTGTTCGCAATTGGATGGTAGTCTTTGGTGATTATTCAAGAAGCAAAGAATATTTTGTGAAGGATCAAGACCCAAAGAAACTTGTGGAACGAAATGTTCAGACGATAGAACTCTAGAAACTTACCTGAAGAACAGATGCTCTCGAGATCGAGGGTTTTGGGGCATCAAAATGTTGAGATAGCAGAGCACCAGAATCTAGCAAATTTAAACGATCCTAAGATTAAGGCATCACAACGATATCGCTTAATATTCGTGACCATCATCCAGCTAATTTAAGTAACTGACTCCCGAAGTTCGCGATAAAGAGTGAAAGATAACGAGTTGGGATTGCACGACGTTGGAAAGCCCCAATAGAGATCTCAATATTCAGACTGTAATAAGTCCCTGCCCGAGTCTACCGAGTTCGACTGGCCTCGATTTCAAAAGTAAAACTGTTGCCACCAAAATATGAGAAAACTGTTGGCTCGAACAACGTCTTCTTAACGAATCGACCGGGCTACCAGAGGTCCCCAAAGACTCCCGCACGGATTCGAGCAGATCCGGCCGATTCCCTCGCAATCTAAGGCCCATCTCGGGTCCCCGAAAGATTTCGCGATAGCCGCCGGTGGATCGGGACACTTGTTCCCTGGCTCGAACATGAACTAGCCACGCAGGAAGTCGCCGGGTCGTCAGCGAGCAACGACGAGAGCCGACTGTTCCGTGTCTGTTCTACGTGAAAACCGTCGAGAGTTTGATCGTCGCTGGACGCGGCGGGCAAGATGAAGAGATAATCGAAGCGGAAGGCGAACGAACGGCTACGGGAACGTCGGTAGAGAGCTCTCGTGGTCCAAGCAGGAGGGCAGAAGGGTCGGCAAAATAGAGTACCCCGGCGGCAGCGGTATGTACGGGGGCGGCGCGGGCGGCGGGGGGTACGGGGTCGGTTTGGGCCCGGGAGCGGGCCCCTCGCATTACATACCCTCCGCTTCCTCGGTGGGCTACCAATTGGCCCCGCCGCCCCCGCCACCACCTCCGGCCTGCCCCACCGCCGGAAGTCAGCTTCTGTCTTACGGGCCCAACCTATCGCCCCATCATATGCAGCAGACGCACACGGACGCGCAACAGTCCAAGAGACGGAGGTAAATCATCCACGAGAATCTCTTACTTTCTCTCGAACATCCTCTCCTCCCCCTTTTTTTCTTCGTTTCGTTTTTTTTCGGGTTAGTCTCGAAGATGGTGGGGGGGCAGTTGACCCCTACAGTGACGGGCAGCTTTGGGCCTTATTAAGGCAAATAATTCACTGGTCGGACTAATTTTCGGTGGTAGTTTGTATCTTTTATAATTATATTTTTGGGGCCTCATGAATTTCCAATATGGCTGACTTCAGGAGCAATTTTGTCGTGAAGGTTTCTTTATTGCAACAGAAATTTATAAATAATTGACTGGTTTATGCAGTTTGTGTTATCATGAATGAAACCTGGAAGTTATAGTGCATACTGTGTTGCATAGTTGATCGAATGAATTATCCGACGGCCGACGATTCGGAGTCGAATTTCACACTCTGCTTGAAAATCGAAATTTTTACGTTCTCGTTTGTCTACGAGAGTATAATCAATGGATCATTAAGATGTTTCTGATAAGTTAGTGCAATACACGTATTTATACATACGTTGTTATGAATCATCTAATATACTATACCGCCAGACACTTAACCTTTCCGGATTGGCTCGTCGACGATTCAAATTCCTTATCACTGCCCCCGACATCAAGAATGTAAATCTCCGATCAGATAGAAAAATTCAATCCGAAAAACCGAACTTATCTATACGTGCATCGCAAAGTAGAATTTACGTGAATTCTCGAAACACACGCTTATCGTACAAACTAATTGTTTTCAATTCTACACTCGAGAAGAAGGCGCGAATATCAATAATAATCACAGTATTATCTATATTTTACAGTTGAATGAAAATAAAGAAATACACGTTTATAGAATTAATATTGAGTACAATCTGACGTTCCATAGTTTCGACATACTGTACATTGTCGGACAGGTAAACATGTCTATAGTGCCTAATTCAGAAGTCGTGTAAACACGTCCATAGCCTCGGAATATGTAATCCGCCGGCCGTGTAAACATGTCCGTAGCATCGGAAGGGTTAAATGTAATCAAACACCTCCGCTTTGAGCTGATAAGAAACATAGACGCCGGTTGGAAGGCAGTTTGACACGAAACATTGTCGAAAAATTTATCCACCTACTCGAATTTTTTTCTCGAAAGTGCGTAGGAATTCGTGGGTATGTCTATTCATAAAAAATGATTGCAATTGACTCCTCTAGCTGAAAATAATTTTTTTAAAATGATTTGAAATTTTTTAATTTCGTCGAAACATTTCACACCTATTCGAATTTTTTTCTCATATGTGATTAGGATTTCGAGGGTATGTCTATTCACCAAAAATGATTGTAATTGACTCCTCTAGCTAAAAATAATTTTTTTAGAATGATTTGAAATTTTGTATTTTCGTTGAAAAATTTCACACCTGCTCGAATTTTTTTCTCGAAAGTGGGTAGGAATTGGAGAGTATGTCTATTCACCAAAAATGATTGCAATTGACCCCCGCAACCGAAAATAATTTTTCCAGAATGATTTGAAATTTTTTAATTTAATTTTTTAATAACTTTTCAACGAAGCCTCGATCAAGATATTGATATTCTTGATTTTCGTCTTATTTTGGCTTCTAGAACCTCCCATTAAAATTTTTCCCAGGTGTGACTAAACACCTTGTATATTGCATGCCCAAAAATTTGAGCTAAACAATGCATCTGTTTTTTTTCGATCATTTTATCGGAAACTCGTATTGCCGCGGCGTGCTAGATCCAGTAATAAAACGTTTAGCAAAAAACACAACTATACGTCGTCGATAACGTCTGACTAAATAATTATTCGAGGCGTGCAGCCGTTCTGTCCCGCGCTGTATCCGAGCGCAGCGCACCTCGATCGAAACGCGTGGTTCCGTCAACGGGAACGGGATTTCTAAATTGTAAATGACCGTTGCGCATAGTTAATGAACAAAGAAAAAAGAAGAAAACTGCCGCGAGAGCACAAGCAGACCGTGTTCGGTCTAGTTTAGCCGGGAATCGTGACCGTTGTTCCTTACGATTGCTTATTGAAATTGAGAGAGCCGTGAGCGTATAGCGGTCATGGATTCGCAATTCCCTTAAATCAATAGCAATGACGGCGATGGCGAGGCGGGGGAGGAGGGAAAACTTCTGCGGTTCGCTTCGGAAATTTCTTCTATCGGCCCATTACGTCGCGATTTACGCGGCGCAATTGGACAATACGTGGCTCGCGGTGCCGCGATTTGCGGATTATCATAATAGCCGGCCCCGGATCACCGACTAGATCGATCCTCGTATCGTTAAATTTAATCGAACGAGAAATCAGCGTGCGAACATGCGAACTGGGAGGCGAACATGCGTTATTTACGTTGCTCGCAACCTTCAGAATCTTCAAAAATTCCGATTCTTCCGATGCTCTGTTCACCGATTTCAATGAAATTTGGTAAATTGATATTATATTATATTATATAACAAGTATGGGTCGAAGTATCATTTGTTTCGGAGTTATAAAATATTTTATTATTGTTACCCAACTCCTTTTTATCGGTTCACAAGGGTATGTTCAATATGGAGGCAAATTCATTTTGACACTGTAGAATTTTTATGTCGGAAATAGGACCATTTTTCAGGACTGAAAAATTGTTGGAATATAGAAATATTGTCACTATTATTTTGCAGTTATTTAGTTTAGGGTTCTCCCATTCTAAATAACATCGTAACGCGTGGTAAGTTCAGAATGCCGGTCACCGGTGACCTCCGTTCCCAGAGGGGATTTTTGAACTATGCTATCGCGGTGGACGATTCCGTCTCGGTGCAAGTGTCAAGTTTTCCATGAAATTTATCACGTAGCGTTTTATCATCGAGGGAACATTCCGTGGTATCGGCAGTAATTCGTCCGCGCCTCGGCTCGCGATTGGTCGAAAAACGAAACAGTGACGCTACCTTTGAATCGAGATAGCCCGATTATCGGCCGAAACCTGCGTAAAAACATCGCGGGGCCCTCGTAAAACCACTTTACCGCTACCACGTGGACGGAAAACACGGATTTGCTAGTCCATAATGGGAATTCGAAAATGTCGTAACATGTTGCGTCAACCGTTCCTTCTGTTTCGCGCTGTTCGCGTGAATTTTTATCGATTTGCAATTCGAAAAGATAGCTGTACACTATTTCCAACCTCTTCGGGCCCGTTACAGATAGCGGAATCCTTGAAGAAGATATTAAAATCGATTTCTACTCGAGGATCCAATACCAGAAAAACTTGAAAAATGCTAATAATTACTAATGATTATATATAGTTCAAAATTATTCCAAATGTTCTCAGAATCCATTATTCCATCAAATTAAAAACGAAATTAATTTTAAAAACATTTTAAAAAAATAATTTCAAATGGTTCACGTAAAATGGCACTTTACGTCTGAAATGAGTATACAAAGTATACTTTGCATAGACGTACATGAATTTATTTAAATATTTCATACCGTTAAATGTATTATAATGTATAATTGCTTGGTTAAAAAACTGTTGGAAATTATTGTATCGCTTCTATATTCTCCAAATACATTAAAATTGTTGAAATGTACGATGTTTGGTTCGACAAGCGCGAAATTTATTCTTTTCTCGCGATACAGTGTTGTACGATTTACATTTTTAAATATCGAGAAAGATTGGCTGGTTGCGCGATGTTATTACGGGATCGGCGAATTTTTCTCTGAAATACAAACACGTCGACAACACGGATTATAAATAATGTCACGTTTCGGCGGAAGTAAATTGCTTCATTATTGTCCAATGTCTTGCGTAACAACTACCGACTTCATTATATATACAAAAGGACTGAAAAACGAATATACGACTTCCTCATACTTCGCGTCCTTCGGGTTGGGTTATAATGTTTATTGCGTGACTGTTTTTCAATCGACACGTTCCTGGCCATCGCGATCGGTTTGCTATAAAATCGGCTGCCGCCCATTGGCGTACAGATCTCATAATTAACGATCAAAACGACGGTGCAAAATTTAATCGAACTCGAGGATAATTTCTTAAAAACATTTTTCTTTTGTTATTAATTCACTCGTTGAAATAGATTTCATTTTTATCTATTGAAAGGAGGGATATTCTTCACAGTGGCGTAAGAAGATTTTTCCCAATTTTATTTTAATATTTTTGTATACAGCTTTAGAATTGATTTTCAAAATACAGCAGTTATAAAATAGTTAAAATAAAATGTCATAAAAGGACACATTTATTTCACGAAATAATTCTGTAAACCTCAATTTGGCGTTACGAGTAATCGTTACCATTTTTACCATTTTTACCATTTTTACCATTTTCATGTTATCGTTTAACTGTGATACCATTCTTGAATTATAAAAGTTTATCAAAGCGTTAAAACACTCGAGGGCCCCCGAAATTTGGACAAAGACGAAGGGAACGAGAATGGCCCCGATTCAAAAATTGTTTTCCGGCGATAATGGCACCCCCAAGTGGCCGTGGCCGCGGCGGCGACCGGGATCTGGCATTTCTACGATCGCGTAAAAACTCGATCTATCGAAAGGGCAACCGTCGGCCGCTGGTGGAGCCGTGAAAGGGACCTTTTTTCCCCTCGCGTCGGGTCTTTCTTCTGTCAGGCCATTATCTCCGCCGGGTTATTCTCACTTTCGTCGAATCCCGGCCAAAGTCACGCTCCATCGACTTCTTCTTCTTCTTCTTCGTCAACTTCGGCGCGGGACATTCTTACTTACGGCTACAGAACAAATCCCCCGCCTCGGGATTAACAGTTCGAGCTTGTTGTTTTTACGAGGTTCCCTCTTCCCGAGCAGAATGGTAATAAGACCGATTCGATTTTCACCGGGATCGTCCTCCCTCTTCTTTAACGAGACTTTTAATGAACCATCGACCGCGAAAAAAATGGCACCGGTGACGCAGGAGCGTCATTACGTTTTCATTACCGTTTTTACGACCCCACGATCGTCTCAGGTTTGACGTTAACAAAATTATTCTGGCAATATAAAACT